TTTCTTAAGACACCATTGAAATACTAGTTTAATTTTTAAATCCTTTTTTGATATCCTAGGCATTTAGCAATTTGAGAATTACTTGTGACGAAAAAACTGAAATAGAATTTTGGGTAAAGTGCAGAATCACCCACCACTTGATGCGTTTTTAAGAATTGCACATACTCGGTATCCATGTACACATCGACCTATTTTCACTTAAAAAAATTCACAGAATTGCACAAAAATGGCACTGCGCACACCCTTGACTTTATCTATGTATACATCGACCTATTTTCACTTAAAAAGTAAAAGAAAATTGACAAAAATCCAATTCTTTTTACCCTTGTAAAAAGCAGCAAACAAATAAGTGGGCGATTCTGCACTTTACCAAGAATTTTTTTCAAAGAAAAAGCATTAGTCATTATAAAAAATTATGTTTGAACAACCAACGAGATGAAACTATGCTTTAGCGATAACTCGGTAGCAAAATAGCGATGCAGGCATCCATTCAGTTATGTTTAGAAATTTTTACATAAATTATAATAATGATCTGAAATAGTTATTTACTCTTATGCTTCCATTCAGTCATGTTTAGCCTTTTTTATATAAATTAAAATAATAAAAAAGTATATGAAATTAACCTTCCATCTAAATTAAAACATAAATCTTAGATAGCTCTTTACTATTATACTTCCCTTCTTGCATTAGGGTTGCTGCAATTATATTTGGCAGCACTGGCATCAACAATAGTTTACCGATTTTTTACGGCCCTCAAAACCGAATAGTATTTTTTTTTTAATTTTATTTTTTATTTATTTTTTAATTTTGATACCCTTTAGATCATAATTGCTCTTTATCTCATAAATTACGGTTTCATATTTTTAATTTTATAATTTCTGCATGCCATCTTACCAGATTTAAACTGATGATTTATAATCCGGAAAAATCGATAATCCGGAATCGCCGAAGTCCCGACCAGTCCGAATTTCGGACTTTGTACTGTACTGTAAACAAAGAGCAAAATTTTCCAATTAGTGCAATTTGTGAAGAAACTTAGAGAAGTGAAAATGATATAATAGAAGTTTTTCAGCACAATGGCAATGCCCCAAACATCAAACAATTAATGGTCAGTGAAATCTGTCGTTATGGTTCCAAGGCCAGAAAATATTGCTACAGGCCAGTGAAGAACGTGACAGAGATTGTTAAGAACAAAACTATTTAAATTCACAATTTAGTGAGAATTTTCAACATGGCAATTACAGGATTTGAACAATTGAAAATACCCGGACAAGATATTATATCCGTCTACAAAATTAAAGAGAAAGTATTAGCACACACACAACAAAAAAGCAATTTGAACAAATTACACAGCTTTTTTTCCTTGTAAATTTTGATTTCCTTTAGGTTATAAATGCTTCATAATTTCATAAAGCAGTATTTCATATTTTTAATTTTATAATTTTTACATGTTATCTTGCTAGATTTAAACTGATCATCTAATAATCGAGAAAAATTCTAAATCAGGAATCACCGAAGTCCTGAACTCAGACTTTGTACTGTATTATTTAACAGCTTTTTTGTCATAAACATAAAACATCTCCTTATCACATAAAAGATCTGATTGCTTTACAAATATCTTAAACACACAAAGATGTGATCATTTGTAGATATAAGGACAAAAATGATTAATATGATGAAAAAGGTCAATGAAAAGGGAGGCACAGCTTTAGTACTAGTCCTTTTTGGCGAGACATTTGTTTGGCGACATTTTGGAGCGATAAATGAAAAATTATGATGGTAACCCTACATACTGAGCTTCAAACATGCCGCCATTTCTGTCCATGTAACTTTAACGAATTTGACAGGTATCAGAGCTTTGATGGCAGGAGGGATAAATTGTGTGTTTTTCTTAAAGTTACTTTTGTGTTAGGAAAGCACAACATTTAGAATATTTTTTAAAAAGCCAAATTTTTGATAGTTAAAACTGGTGCTTTTAATATTACATCACAGAAGTCTTGACATTTTTTCATATGTCAACTCTGCATATTATTATAAACTCCACACACCCCCCAAGGAAGAAAAAAAAAAAAAAAAAAAAAACACATTTTCAGTAGCATGAGGTAAACTCTTGGTGTTTCCTTTGCTAAGGAGATCAAAATTACCAAGGTCTAAAAATACTTATTTACCTCATATTAGAACTATAGGGATGTGTAATTGCATGAATTCATAGGTTCAAATCAGGACCAAAACCAGGTTTCATTATTGCTTTTATAACATTTTCATAATTTGTCTGACTATAAAAAATATAATGTTGCTTAGATTATGGAATATGTTGCTTATATTTTAGAGTTCTCAATTTTGTAAATCTTACAACCTAACAGCTGTATATGAATAACCTTCACTGAGTATTACTTTTATTTATAGTATGTTGACATATCGACTTTTTATTTTAAATTTTATGCAATTTTCTACATTACGTTTAATCAAAACAGAAATCTTTACTTTTAAAAGTTAAGAGTCAATTTTAATATAAAAATTTGACTACATGGCAAGCATAGATTATTTCAATTTCAAATGTTTTAAATGATTATTCTATTAAGTAAGATATATTATTTTTTATTCTATTTATAAAGTTTAGATGTACAGAACAGAAGGTACACTTTGTGCTTACGACTCATTCAACCACTTGTGGCAAGATAACTTATGATAACAATTAAGTTCAAAATTTAAAATTTAAATTCAAAATACCCCAAAAGGCTGCACAAATCAATTTAATGCAATTGGTTAAAACTTAACTGGCATGGAAATGGAATTTCAACTATCAGCAATTATAATGCAAGGCTGAAGACTACAAATCTTTTCTTATCTAGCAACCTATTAATGTGGCCTCAAAAGGCAAAAACACGTTTAAAAACTTCATTTGGATTCTGGTGAGAACTGGATGGAGGAAATTGACAGTAAAGATCCCAAAAATAACTTACAAAATAAGGAACGTTTACAATATACTTTTCCCTGATTAATTATTCAGTACATGAAATCGTGTAATACATTTTTGTTTGCATCACATACACAATTTAGTTTATTTAAATGCTTTCCAAAACTGACAGGATTTTGCAAACATATTGACCATTTTTTCGACCTATAGATGCAATACTTCTTCTCTTCAGAAGTAAAATTTAGAATTAAGAAATAAGAAATAAGAGAGAATTATGAATAGAAAATAAATACATATAGCTGGCTAGCAAGGAAAGGATGCCTTCATAAAGTACTTTTAAGAGAAACTGGCTCAGATTCACATTACATCTACGGAAAACTACTAAACTCCCATAAGCCAGCCTGAACTACCACTGTTCAGTGGTATCACTCCACCACTAGTGGATTCCAATGACTGTTCGGATTTTCACACAAATCATCCATTTACGATGATTGGTTGTATTATTACCATTGGTACAAATTTACTCATTATGATAATTAATTTTAGCTTTAAAATTATAATCATAAATACTGTGTAATAAATTGAGGGATTAAAAAATACACACTCCTTAATATTTTTTACCATTTACAAATCATAAATATTTCTAACACTGGTACAAAAACTTGCCCATTAATTGAATTTGATTTCCTTCACTTTGAAATATTTTTTTTTTCTTTTAATAACAGAATCTAAGTAAAGTAACATATACTAGTTTGAAATGCATTTATTAACCTTTTTACTTTCATTATTCATAAACATAAAAATTAACCTTTGTAAATTTAAATATTAGCTAAGTACTAATATAATAAATATAAATATGAACTAACTACTTAAAATATTAATGTTTAATACATTATATTTTGTAATTAAATACTAACATTTTGTAAATTTCATTACCATAACATAATAATTGTCATAAATTCATTTACAGTAGTGTTTCAAGAATTTATCATAGCAGTACTAGAAATATTGAAAATCAGAAGAAAGACTGTTTTCTGATCTTATTTTTTAGGATTGTTATTTAGTCTAGATCGGGTTTTGTTGACAATCCGCCATTTTTTTCCGATCTTCAAAACCGGGTCTACCTTGGCGACCAAAGTTTGTTGCCAAATACAAAAATCGCCAAAAGGACCAATACTAAAGCTGTTCCAAAAGGGAAATAATAATTAAAAAAAATAGGATAAATTAATGTACCTTCATTTCTTGGAAAACAAGGAAGGGCATTTACAGGCAATAGAAAAACTGAAATTTTAACATAAATAAAAATGGTTGAAAATGGAAGTTTTAGCTACTCATGATTAAGTTTCTGGTAATCATTAAAAAGATTTAGAAATACAAACACTGAATTATAAATGATTTTTACTGCAAAAATTTAAAATGAAAATTTAATACACAATGAAACAATGTGACATACAATGATGAAGCAGTCCACCACAGAATATTTAGTACAGTATGACAAAATGTTTTATATTATGTAAGCTATGAATGTCTTTATTATGTAAGTTTCCATTTAATGAGGGGAGTTTAAGCTTTTAACATTACATAAGGACATCTAAATGTCCTGCTGCTTTTCGAACGATACGTTACTAACATAAAAATTGCTTTTACTGCCTTTCATATTTTTCAAGGTGCACATTGTAAACGATACTTATGATTTGCATTCGAAGAACCGGCCTATTCAAATGACAGATGAAGAAATGTAACTGAAAAAACCCAAAACAATATTTCTGAAACCAGTTCGCTCAATTTTCAGTATTTTGTACTATATGGCAATTCTCTTTAATTCATACCTCCTGATGCAAATCATGACCGGCAGACTAACGGTACGACCTTGTACTTCCTTTTAATTAGCTTTTTAAAACATTTTATAATATCAAAACTATCTTCTTATAATCTTATATTTAACACATGAAATCAGAATGAAACTGCTTATGGGATAAAAGTAAACAATTTTAAACGATTAATCAGAATACATAACAATACCCAGCAAATTTAAGGTAACACAGCATGTTAATAAATAGAAGATATGATTTAAATAACTAACCGCCAGTTAAAACCAGCCGATACACAGTTTTTTCCTTTTTCTCGGGATCTAAAGTCATTATCATATAATTTGCAACTCCAAAAACATAAACATTAAATAGCCAATATTACGCACGACGAAAAACGTGCTCAATTACTCTCAGATTCGTTTCTTTGCTCGTTATTTGCAGGAAATCTTCACGAGGGAAAAAGGGAAAATAGACGAGGAGTTACAAATAGAGCTGGAGCAAACCGCATGTATTCGTTACCGAGTAACGGGTACATCGGTTGACTCGAAGTACCGATTCGGTACTCACAAATTCATTTCGTTACTCGCATCTGTTCGTTACTCGCATCTGTCGTACGATGCGGTTTATTCGAGTACGAATGATGCGGTTGCTATACGAATACGAATGATGCGGTTTCTATGCGAATACGAATGATGCGGTTGCTGTTCGAATACGAATGATACGGTTGCGTCACAATGCGCTCATATTTTTCATAGATAATTTTGAATTTTTTTGGGCATCGGGCAAACTCTTGTTTACATTATGTGTTTTAGTTGAAATACTATTTAGTTGTTGATATTTAAGAAGATGAGCAATTTTGATAGCGTGAAGCGTTATTTTGTATTTGCTTTTTACTATTGCTATTTATGTTTGTAATTTGAAAATTTAGATGATTATTTATTTATTTTTTTCTTGAGCGTGCCATAGTGAGATTTTATTGATTTGAAATATTTATATACTGCACTTAGGTATTGTTTATATAAGAATATGTAGGTTAATATAGGTTCTTTACTTCCTTGTATCAAATAAAATGGTAGTAAGTATTGTAATCGAGAAAACTTTTGGGTATCATATTTTAACGGAAATATCCATTTTTGACGATTACGGAATCCATGTGAATTATTTTTTGGGGTGACGTCTGTACGTACGAACACAATGAAGGACTCTCTTTTTTTTTTTTTCAAAAAAAACTGATTTTTAAATGTAATCCCATTTACTCTAAGCTGATACTTATGACTAATGATTATGACTCTAAGTTGATACTTGAAAGGGATTTTTTTCGTGATGTGTAAGTACGTATGTATGCATTTTGCATAACTCAAAAACGATTAGTTATAGAACGTTGAAATTTTGTATATGGGTCCGTTATAACATCTAGATGTGCACCTCCCTTTTTATTGCAATCGGTAATACTACCAAACGTAAATATGTATATATATATCAAATAAATTATAATTAAATGTAAAGTACATATATATATGTCCTTATAATTAAATGTAAAGTACACACACACACATATATATATATAAAATAAAAGCCAAGTAAGGCGAAAATAAAAGCTTTGGCTTTTATTTTATTTAATTATCACTAAATAAGTTACTTGACTTTTATTTTCGCAATCATTGGTTGTAGTCAGGACTTAATTTTTAAAATTAGAAGTGCTGGAGCTCTATGGAAGGCCATCAGGAAAGATGAATAAATAAATAAATAAATAAAAATAAAAAATAACAGAATAACTATACAATAATAAAATAATTAGCAACTAGAATATTAAATGATTATTATTATAATTCAATAAAAAAATTTAAAGACAAATGAAAATGTAATTAATTCTTAAATTAATGATGAATAACTAAGTAATGAAATAAAATACCAGACATCGTCTTGTTTGGGGGCTGTGCCTGAAATTGCTATTTAAGAACTAAGCCGAGCATTAGCATTAGCTAAATTTAGGCTTTTTGATGAGCAAATAATGTACTGTTTACCAGAGTATAGATAGAAATTTGGTTATGTAGCCCATTCTTCTAAAACGACGTTTCGTCGCTGCCTTCCACCACCAATTCTCCTTTTTTTTTCGGTTTCGGTTTATTCGGTTACAGCAAAGCACACTAGGGCTATTGCCTACGGGGAGGGAGGCCTTCGTGGAGGATTTTTTAAAGGGAACTGACTCATATGCAAGTTACACACGGGGAAAACCACGAAAACGCCCGTGCAGCTAGCCGTTAGCCGGGAATTGAACCCCGGACCGAACTATTAGTGCTCAGCGACTTTACCGCTCGAGCTCTGGTGGGCTCTTTTTTCTTTTCATTCGCTGTTTGAAAAACAGGTGTTCACTTTACGATAAAGTAAGCACCTGTTTACTTCAATTAAAATGGGTTAGACGATATGACTCTTCCTACTTTAATCTCACTTAGCTTTTGATTTCTAATATTGATTCAATGTTTTCTGTAGACAAAGTATTCTGATTAGAATAATGGATTTAAAACATGTTCAAAAGGTGTGTATCTGAATATAAATAGGTTTTTATTACATAGGGCCCATTTTATTAGTTTCACATAGTTCTAAAGCAATTGAACCACAGTATCGCTGTTTTGAAAGAAAGTAAAAATGTGAGAAATGTATAATGAACATTAATATACAAGCTTTATTAAAAGTAGTCAGCCTTTTAAAACGTGACCGTCTATGCTTTTAGAGGATTTTTGGAGCTCTGTGCATTTGCTCTGGCATCTTAAAAAAGTGATGTTCAATATCAACGTATGTTTATGTTCTCAAAAAATACAGGTTTCTTTCAGAAAGCGACCTCTTAGAAGCCGTCAATAAATGATTCAGTATAGTTATTTTCTAATAGACCATAGAATAAATTTATTTTAACGTCAATTTAAAAATGGCTGCTTGTACTAAGAGTTAAGAGCAATAAGACTCTAATTTTTCTTTCGCAATTAGCTGTCATGCCAGCTGAATTGTTTTCTGCATAATCCTTTATTGTGTATAATTGAAATATTTAGCTATGCATTCAACAAATATACAACAAATGTAAGACAAATCATTAAAAAAATTAAAATTTGGAACATTAATGATAATTTTTTTGTTATACATAAAATATTATTAATGAATGATGAATTTATATCATATTATATATAAATCAAAATTTAAAACTCCTATTCCTTTATAATAAATTGAAGAAAAGCTATAAAGTGAATTAATTTTTAAAAACAAAACGAAAATTAAAAAAAAAAAGTTGTGATATACCTAGAATCTAAAAATGACAAGTACTGAATTTTACGACTCATGTGTGTATTTAATTATGGCAAAGCACACTAGGGCTATCTGCCTAAGGGGGATGCCTTCGTGGAGGACTTTCTAAGGGAAACTGGCTCGTATACACGTTACACATGGGGAAAACCCCGTTCGCGGGATTCGAACCTCGGACCGAACTACCAGTGTTCAGCGACTTTACCGCTCGGCCGCTGGTGGGCCGTTTTACGACTCATATAATAATAAATGCATATTCATATTGTAACAGAAATTTTGTTAGAAGTCTAGCATATGTATAGTTATTTGTGATCTTTTAAAACTGTCGTAACATGATGCATATTTATCATTATCGTGAACCAAAACAGTATGCTTTACATCCTTACAAATATACGTGATAGATTTTAATATTTATTTCTGCATATACTTACGTTTCCCAAAGACACGAAAGCAAGTCAAGCAGATTTTTGTTGTATTAAGCAGACTTAAGTTCTCTGTTAGCTAGTGTAACATAATTTCGGATTCTATGAGCCTTCCAGAATTATTAGCAAAATAGTGGAAACGTCTTTACAAAGTGTTTTTATAAGCAAACAGCAGATGTACACTGAGCAGTGATCAACTGATATATTTCTTAAATGATTTGGTTTAGTTGATTATGACAAAACACACTGGGGCTATGTGCCTAAGAGGAAAAATGCCTTCGTAGAGCACTTTCTTAGGAAAGCTGGCTCGTATGGTACGTGGTAAGCTGGCTTGTAAGCTGGTACGGGAAAAAAAACACGAAAAAAATGAAGAACCCACGCCGTGATTGCCAAGCGATGAAGCGTTGCCTGAGATCGAACTCAGGTCGGAACTACCAGTGTTCAGCGATTTTACCGCTCGACCGCTGGTGGGCCATTTCTTAAATGAATAAAGGTATACTCATAGCATTATGAAATAACACTGATTGAAATATTTAGTGCTTCACTATTATCTCTAATAAAGTAACATAAAACTTTCCTTACCTTTTATAGATTTCTAAATTTCTTTTAAGTTCTTTCTTAATTCGTACTTAACCTATACATGTTGCGAATGTTTTTATCGATTTATTGTTAAGTGTAAAAAGCAAGTTGACATTTATAATATAGCATTCCTTGTCTCAACAAATAACAGTCTCAACAAGGAGTTTTTGGAAAGGGGATGAATGAATCGGGGAAATTTCACCCTTTCGTCATTAGCGGTTCTGATGAAGGGAATGGGGGGAAGCAGCAAACGAAATAACGAATAACGGACAAATAACGAAAGAAAGCTAATCTTTAATGCGGTCTCCCAGTTTCTGTATTTGTATTTGGGAAAGTTTTATGGTCATTATGAAAAAGTGAAAATTTGATATGGATTCCGCATGACTTCCTTCTACGACTATTTAAATTATGCTTATTTTTGCTGTGCACTTCATTTAAACTTATTTCCTCGAATTATTCTAACTCAATTAAGCGATACCCGAAGGCAAGTTACAAATGGCATCAAACATTGCAAATTTTGAAACTAAATTTCCCGGTCAATCTTTGTCCTACGGGACTCAAACTTCTTGTATTTTTATTTTTTCATAACGAGTATAAAACTTTGCCAGATATAAATATAGAAACCAGAAGACGACATTAAAAGTTAGATTTCATAATTTGTCCAAAATTAATTCTTTTTTAAATTTGACATTGACAAAATATGAATATTTTCGTCATTTAAAATACTTCTGTATTTTTGTTGCACCGTATTTAAACTTGCTTCCTCGAGTTATTGACATTAAATTACATTAATTCCATTATCTATCGGAAAATAATTATAGCAAATCATCTATTTACGACATCTCTAAGAGGTCACCTTTTAAGAGATCTCTATTTTTGGGAACATAAACAAACATTGGTAGTGAACATCATCTTTTTAAGACCACCACATGTAAAATCCTCTAAAAGCATGAATGGTTGCATTTAATGAGGACCCATTACTTTTAATAAGGAATGTAACATTAATCTTAATTATACATGTTTTTGATGTGTGTGCCAAAATAGTGATAACCGTACTTCTGTTGCTTTAGAAATGTGTGAAATTAAAAAAAATGGATACTATACAATAAAACAAAAATGTTATTATATTCA